AGGGGGAGTGGGAGAGAGAGAATCCCAAGCAGGCTCTACACTGTCCACAGAGAGCACGATATGGGGCTCAAACTCACAAACTGTGAGATCATGACCTGAGTTGAAATCAAGAACCTGACATTTAACTGACTGAAACATCCAGGTGCCCCTCAAATCCCAATCTTTATTGAGGACTTCCTTCATGCCAGAAACTGTGCTTATGTTCTCATGCAAGTATCAACCACAGACTTGCCCTTTAAGACTAGAAGAATTTCAGCAATAATTATATAGACAGGAAGAAAGATAATGCCAGGTGCAGAGAGGAATCAAGTGAATGAAAATATCCAAGCTCTATCATTTCTCATCTAACAATCTGACCTAAGAATAAGCTTTAACCTCTGAGCCTTGGGTTTTCCATCTGTAAAATGAATTTACAGTAACTCGCATCAGCAATGCTGTCAACATGATCATTTCCATTCTCCACCTACCCCGTATTCAAAAGCGGCCATGTGCGCTCAAATTCTTAACTCACGGTGAAGAATAAGAGAGGGAAGGTGAAGCTGGGAAAGAAACATCAAGCTATCTCAGGAAGTGGGGAAGCAGAGGGCAGGTTAATCTCACAGAAGGTTGACGAAACAGGCATCAACTACCTAGATTTTTGGGACTCATTCTGTTATCCCAGAAGAACAAGTAGACACAGGACTAACTCAGAAATGTTGCATCAACATTTTAGCCTGAGTGGACATTTGCCACCATGTGGTGCCAAACTACAAAATGGACCTTGGGACTCTATAGTTAAGACAGTAGGAATTCCCAGACAGCTAGGTGTACCAGCTCACCTTGTCATTTCTTTCAGCCTGCAATAATGCAAACCCATGTCATATTATAGAGTTTTTTGTACCACCACTTACTTCAGGGCTTTACTGTCACATCTACTTCACTGGACTGCTGGGAGAAATCCTAAATGTTGATCCAAGCACTGTAAGTAACTGGAATATTGCTTGATATTTTGTAAGCTATTGATACATGTTAGCTATTAGTCTTATTATTAATAAGATCTTAAAAACATTTAATAACTGGGGCATTGGCTCAGGCCATGTTCTCATGGTTCATGGGTTCAAGCCCCATGCCAGACTCTGAGCTGACAGTGTAGAGCCTGCTTTGGATTTTCTCTCTCTACCTCTCCCCCATTCATGCTCTCTTTCTCTCCAAATATATTAAAAAAAAAAAAAAAAGCCAAACATTTAATAACCAGTATGGCATTAGCATCAGCCAATAGGGAGACACATACAGTGTGAACATAACTATGACTTCCACCTGTGGGAATCTGCTTAAGCTAGCTCTCAAAGACCAGGTAGAATACGTTCCTGTAGAGACAGTGAGCAAGAAGGCACATCAGGGGAAGAAAACCCAGGAGGTCCATAAAAGTATCTTTTATGTGGTTTTGTGTGACTGAGGCAAAGGGTGAAAAAGAAAGGGGAGGAAGGGGAGGAAGGAAGGAAAGAAGAGAGGGAGAGAGACCGAGAAGGCCGTAAAATTAGGAGGTTGGGGCCAAGTCATAAAGGTTAAGGATTTCGGTACTTAAGTCAGCAAGAAAACAAAACTGGCAATAGATTTGCACAGTAGCTCACCAAAGACCAAAGGATGCATTTGGTTATGAAGTTCAAAATGAGTGAGTGCAGTCCACCACTCTCCAATATGGAAAATGTTTACATTACAGTTCATTTAAAAAACATATGCACACATACTTTAGATAGCTTTCACCGACCAAAGTTGAAAGAAAATACTTTGTAGTGAAGTAAGATCCCTAAAAGTTTAGGGGCTATTTTTATTTAAACATTTTTAAAAACTTTTTTAATGTTTTACTTATTTCTGAGAGAGAGAAACAGCGTGAACAGGGGAGGGCCAGAAAGAGAGAGAGACACACAGAATCCAAAACAGTCTCCAGGCTCTGAGCTAGCTGTCAGCACAGAGCCCAACATGGGGCTTGAACCCACGAACCGTGAGATCATGACCTGAGCCAAAGTCAGACACTTAACCAACTGAGCCACCCAGGTGCCCCTATTTGAACATTTTTTATTGTTTATTGATTTTTGAGAGACAAACACAAGTAGGGGAGGGGCAGAGAAAAAGGGAGACAGAAACCAAAACAGGCTCCAGGCTCCCAACTGTCAGCACAGAGCCCAATCCAAGGCTTGAACCCATGAACCATGAGATCATGACCTGAGACAAGTTGGATGCTTAACTGACTGAGCCACCCAGACGTCCTATGGGTCTATTTTTATTTAATTAAGTAGTGTTCATTTTTTGGAGTATTTTGTTCCAGTTCAACTCTAATTTCAGTATCAAAATTTCTCAAATGTTGACAAGACTGGAAGTTGCTAAATCTGCGATGGCAACGAACTGGTGCTATGTGCATGTAATCAAACCAGCAGCAACGTAACGTCAAACACAAACGTATTTTTTCAACGCCTAAAATGGCAACTTAAAGCAGTAATGGCATCAAGTAGGAATTAAAATCTCTAGTTAAAGCCAATTAGGGTTTGCAGGTTAGTTTTGAATTTTACTCATGTTATTTCAAACCAGAATTATTTCAAAACCTCTTGCTATTGAAACTCATATAGGGTGCAATGGACATGTTAGTTTTGGATTCTCAGTAACTGTCTTTCCTCTCCTGCTCCCTTCTTCCTTTTTCTGATAATTTCCTCTTCCTTTGAGGGTAACTCCTCTCCTGATCAGCTAAGGGATGGAATGTGATCCAATGTGGGCAAAATCAAAGTTGTTTCCCAAATATTACATAATTCACTGCCACGCTTTGGTTATGATGATGTAAGCTCAAACTGTCAATGGGTGCCTTCTACCATTCTCTCCTCACTGTCTCCTTCCCCAAAGAGAAAGTCCGCCTGAAAGAGAAAACCAACCCAGGAAAAAATAAAATCAGAGCTAAGTATGGGAGATGGAAAGATGGCTTCTTAGGGTATTTGGACCAAGTCATGCCTATACTTCTGTGTAGATGAGCCAGTGAGTGGCCATTCATGCTTACACCAGCTTGAGTTTCTGTTACTTGCAACTGAAAGGAGACTGGTTAAAAATCAAAAGTGTACAAGATCTACTTGAAAATAGATTTAACACGTATTAATACAGTAGTGTATGATTAAAAGTAGACTGGGTATCTTTACTTAAAATTTAATGACTAATATGAAATCAGGTAGAATACACTGTATACATCAACCAAATTAAACCAAATGTATAAAGGAAATTGCTGGCATTAGAGTTATGCATTTAACATCTTATTATATACCATGAAACCAGAATAGCACTACTTGCTCAGGGAAACAAATTGGCTCAACTACACTTTGGAATCTTAAGTATCTATTATAGTAACTTTCCTTAATTCCTATTTATAATATGAACAGGTGCAAGCTTTGTTTGCTGTAATTTATGGCTATTAATCCCATATATAATAATTAGCAATTATGAAAGGCCTACCTTGCCTTTGAAATCATTGTTTAAAAAATAAAGAAGGCCAGGTGAAGCTTTTCTGCTTTTAAAATGTGATTTGTGGACAAAATGCAGGATGTTGAACTTAACATGGGTCAGGGAATTTGTTTATTCATCTGAATTTGTCAAGAATCCAAACAGAGAGGGCTTTTAAAGAAAGAAATTAAGTCTTAATACTATGAACTTCTAGGGAGGGCTTTTAAAGAAAGAAATTAAGTCTTAATACTATGAACTTCTAGGGAGGGCTTTTAAAGAAAGAAATTAAGTCTTAATACTATGAACTTTTAGGGCTCTCAGTGAATTATTTCAACTTCACCCCCTCTAAGCAGTTGATGTGGTTATTCACTAAAACGTGTTTATTATAAATCCTGTGGGAATAAATATGTATATTGATCAAATGAGCAGATACTTATATTTCTGGGAACTACACTAAATTCTTTCCTAAGGAACAGTCTATAATTGAAAAATCTAATAGAAATCTAGGCTCTAGAAATAGCAAGCATGCGTTACAGCATGTAGATTTTTTTTCCCCTTTCAATTTTTTCCTGGTCAGGGGGGATAAATTCTCTGGTTGTCCAGTTTTTAATTTAAATTCTAGAAGAGGTGGATCTCAGTACTTTTCCTGGAAATGAGACTGTGTCATAACAGATTTCACTCTCAGGGAAATCGTTCTTCATCCTGATAATCAGATCATACAACCCTGTTGTGTGCTTTATCCTCCTTTTCCCAGGAACAATTCTGTGATGCATTTGATTGAACTCATCCTATTTCTTTTTTTATATTTTTTAATGTTTATTTATTTTGAGAGAAAGAGTATAAAGGAATGGACAGAGAGAGAGAGAGAGAGAGAGAGAGAGAGAGAGAGAGAGAATCCCAAGAAGGCTCTAAGCTATCAGCGCAGAGCCCGACGCAGAGCTTGATCCCATAAACTGTGAGATCACAGCCAAAACCAAGAGTTGGATGCTTAACTGACTGAGCTACCTAGGTGCCCTCAATTCATCCTATTTCTGGCGTGTTTCAAGAAAACAAATTCACCTACAGATTAAATATGAATCCTTTGAAATCCCATGTAGCTGTCTCCCCAGAAATATTATGAAAAACAATTCTACAGAAACCTTTCAGTGTATGAGGAAGATTCCTGAAGTTGCTTGAGCAAGTATACCTATTTCTCAAGTTTCAAAGCCTTGTTTTCTATGAATCATATTTCTACTATTACTTTTATGGCTAAGGGTCTTGTGGCATTATTGCCTTTGGATTCTCTTCTCCAGTTTCGATCCCAAATTACACATATTTGTGTTCTTCTATGGTCATCCTCTCATTCTATTTCTTCCACAAGCTTCTTTAATTAATGTCTCTGGCTTCCTTTTGGTCTAAAACTTATTCCAATTATAAACTACATATGAATTCGCCAATGTCCAATTTTATCATTGTTTTCTTAACCATTAAGTACACAGATGCAACACAGATGTAATCATCTTTTACTCTTTTATAGCCATATTGCAATTTCATAACTGTATAAATTCCAATAAAACTAGGAAACTTTAATTTCAATATGTGAGATCATAATGTATACAGAGCTGCCATAAGGTATAAATTAAGCCATGTATATACATAAATGCACACATACATTCCAATAACACTTTGAAGAGTTCCAATGCTTTTCTTTCTTCTTTAGTTATTGCTAGATGTTTCAAAACAGCATAAAACTGCTCTTCACAACACCCCTGTGTGGTAATGAGGAGAGTAGAATGGGAACAGGATGAAGGCACGGAATTCATAATAAGACACAGCTCACTGTGCAAACAAGGACAGCCAAATTCGTGAGCACTGATGGTTCAAACAATGAGGAGCCACTGATTTTCTGAACTGAATTATAAGAAATAGCAGTGAATAGTATTTATTCATCCTTCAGTGAATAGTATTTATTCATCCTTTACAGGTGACACTGTACTGAATGCTAACCAAGCAGAAGATCCACTCAGTCATCTCAAGAGGATAAGTTACAAATAAATCCCAAAGACAAGAATGGGCTGGGCAACTGATGGATCAGTTCTTCGGTGGCTACGCGGTGTGTCACAAGGGCTCTACGTTTAGTGAGGTTCCATTAACAAGGGTGACAATTTTGTGGCGGACAAAGGTGATCTTTGGGTTCGGTTTTGCATCAAACTAATGAACAAAAAAAAGTTTTCAGCCTATAGAATTAAATATATTAAAACCCTGGGCCCAACTAACATAAGCACTATGCTGATCAGATGCAGAAAAAGAGCTATCAGGAATAGGGCCTTACAAGTCAATCTAAGAGGCTAGAAAATAAATCTTTTTCAAAATAAAAAAATGTTTAGATTGTTTACTCTTAGAGAAACAAGAAATTTCAACCACCCGCTGATAACATCCCAGTCATCCAACAGCTAGTCAATGCACAGTCCTCCGCAATTGTCTGGGAATTTCGCCTTCTTCCTCCAGAAGAAGTGCTCAATTTTCATTGCCAATGTTCTTGGTAGATTCATTTTTCACTGAAAAAAAAAAACAAGTAAACATATAGTCAAGTGTTTATACTGATTCTGTTTAGCTTGTTCTGTTTTTCCTTCTTCTCTCTTTCCTTCTGATGCATACCAACAGCACTGCTCATGGGGACAGACAAACCATGTCATGCTCCAGGCAGCCGGCATATACAGTTCTGGCCACAATAGAGAGACGATGTCTGAGAGTGGCAATTATATTCTGTGAGGCAACATCCTTCCTGACTCTGTGGAAGAATTGGGAATGGTCACTTCACAGTGTGGTTACGATCCCATATTCGTACCACTAAAAAGATCACTATTATCACATAGGCTGGCCAAGTGTGGCTGGAATAAATTTTTCCATAATTTTTTTTTAACTGAAAATTGAGGGTCAGTATATGTTGAGTGAATGTGGGCTGAGAAAAATAGCTAATCACCATCTCCTTCCTTTCATAGGAAAGATAACTTAGAGCAGAAATGGAGCTCCTTTAAAGGAGCTGTCCTTACTAGAGCAAGCAAGGCTATGATTCACTTACTAAACTAAGATTCCTTAAGGATAGAAACTAGATCTTTCCTCCTTACGTCTACCTCCCACTGTAACGTGTTTGCTGAATCAGTATGAATCCAAGTCACTCTTTTTGTTTTTTAATCTGTAAAATGGGAACCAGAGTAACAGCTCTATTTCATTGCACAGTGAGGGTAAATGGAAATCCTATATTAAAATGCCATGAAAGTTAATGTTAAAATCAAGATTATTTTGCTCCAGGCTTATAGCCATTTATTTCTATTAAAAAGATTAGGGAAATAAAGCTCAGAGGTAAAGTGAATGCTCAAGGGCCCACAGTTTAATAGGAGCTGATGCTAGAATCATAAGCCTAGATCTTGCCACATATTCAATTGCCAACTTCCTTGGAGCTTGCCGATGGTATCTAGATTTAAGATCATCCCAGCAACCAAATTGATGTCTCCTGAATCCTTTTTATGAGTAAAGCACTGAAACAGGTTCCATCCAAGATATAGTCCTGATGCTTGTGGAAATTTATAAACTCTAGCAGAGTCCTTTCAAGTGTCTCCATAATAGACATCCGTTGTTTTTCCTCTGGCTTTCTTTACAATTTATACAAATTTTATTATAGCCACTCTTGCACTGTAAAGTTTACATGTGTGTTCTTGTGCCTGAGATCCATTCTCACCTCCTCATCACCACCACCCCCAACACACACACAGTGAAAGAGAGGAAGAAAAAGAGGGGTAAGGAGGAATGAGGGGAGGAGAGAGGGAGGGAGAATGGAGGAAAGGATTTATTGGCCCAACAAGCAACTGGTGCATGAGTAGCTGCTATGCTATGTATTTTCACTAATTCAAGTCCTCAATCTTGGTTTGGATTTCTTCTCAAAAGGCAGAGACGTTTTATAATTTTGAGTTATCTTAGAGCAACAGAGAAATATGTTTTGCTGATGTTTTTAAATTAACGGAGCTTTGTAGTATTTGGCATTGCAATTCGGGGAAAACTCTTCTTTCTTTGCTTTCTTGAAGTTGCCTGTTTTCTTTTAATAGCACTCCATTTTTTCCTACGACTGAAACGCAGCATGTTCTTACTAAGTCATTTAAATCTACTAGCTTACGTTGGCAAACAGAGATCTGTGAAGTAAGTAACACCATTCTGAGCACGTCCCCCTGGACTGATAAAAGATGAGTGATCAGCACACCACATTTCCAATCTACGGGGCTACCTTAACTGCTTACCTTTTTACAGTCAACCTTCTACATTCCTTAAAAAGCAGAAGGCAAACAAACAGAACTTGCCTATTGCCCATCAATACTGGCAGACTTTTGAAAAAAAAATTATGGCAATCTACAACCATAACAAACATTATAACAATGATCAAGTGTGAAAACCACTGAATCCCAGCCCAGAAACACATTTTTCCCAAACTAGAAGAGAGACACCTTGTGCTATGAACTCAAGATCAAAATTCAACATTTTTGCCTTCGGAGAGAGAAAGAATTTCAAGGCTTTCCAAAGAAAATGCTGTTCTTATATAACCCTCCCCCAGCATTAAGGGACCACCCTGCCGAACAACCAAAGTGGTAAGAATGTACAAAGAATCGGATGTGTTAAGTGCTCACACAAAGAAGCGCACGTACGAAAGACCTGGCATGATTTTTCAAGTGTGTGTATTTTGATGTGACAACAGTGGTATGGTCCTTAAAGTCCTGTCAGACTCTCTTTTCTATGCTACAGCAACTCTAAATGATCCTCTATCCTGAAAGCACTAGTCACTTATTTTCCTGTAAATAAGTCAAATATCACCTACCCACCAAAAAATAGCAAATTTTACTTAATCAGGTTCCAAGTACACTACAAAAGTAGCCTTTTCTTTTTGCTTCATTACAGGAAGACTTGCTTCAGTGTGCATTCCTAAACAAGGTGAAAGAGAAGCTGTGTGTGCTGTGTTTATTTACACAGACATGTTTGTCCTGGCTAGCAACCCACATTACTAAACAACGTTCCCTGAAACCAACGTTTAGAGAGCTGTGTGAATTATATTAAGGAAAAAGTAAGATTTTACATAGCTTTAAAAAAAAAAAGTGAAACTGGCCATTTATAACACACTTGTAATTTAATTTGAGAAAATGAAATTAAATATTTTCAAATTGTGAAAGATTATAAAGCCAAGAATTAACCTAAAGATTTAGAGGCCCATAAGTGATAATTAAAAACTTAATGTTTGCTAGCTAAAAATCTAGTTTCAAATTGTGACGCTGACAAAGCTTTGCCCACTTTGGAAAAAACAAAACAAAACAAAACAAAACCACTCTCCTATTAACTTTTTGCCAAGAAAAAAACCCATTATACACATGTAAGTGAACACTTTAAAACAAAGATTACTGACTACTACAGTCTATGATGCTGGTAGAACAATAAGACCTAAACCATATTATTTCAAATAGTATTATTTAAAAAATAGATTGCAATCCAAACCAAGGATTCAATGGTCCTCTGGAGCCTATTACAATGAAACTTGTCCTGTAGCTGTAATTCTTAGCTAAAAGTCGTATCTAGTGGTTTAAGCTGAGTAACCTCTCTCCCTTTTTAAAAGTAATTTCTGAATTTTACTTATTCTCTTTCTGGAGGTGTATTCGGCAACACAAACAGCTTATTTTAATCAGCAGTTGCAAATAAGGGTAAGTCATTTTATACACTAAATTTACATATACTATTTCAGTTTTAATACTTCCTCCCAACTCCAGGAATCACTAAAGAGGGACAGTATCTACTCTTAAAGAATCACTGAAATGGCAAAAAACAGAGTCAAAGAAACAAAATCAAAGAAAATAAAACCAGGGGGTTTAAAAAAAGGAGATAAACGTCAAGGCAACGGCACTAGCTTTTTCTAAACACAGTCCAAATTTTAAACATGATGTTCTTTCAAACATCTCCTGTTCTATAATGTAGGATACTAAAAACGTTTTATAATCCCTCATTTTAGGAATCTCTAAAGAGAGAGTTTTCACTAGGGAATAAATTCATCTGATGCTGGACAGACTGTTAAAGACTGTTGACCTAAAAAAAAAAAAAAAAAAAAGACAAAAACACACAGAACTCCAAGAAGGCAAAGTATGTCCTTTTATAACCATTCAACATATCCATCTTAAAGTGATATTCTAAAGCTTATGTGCTCTCAAACATGACAGAATCAGCAGCTCATTTATTTGATTCTGTACAGAATCAACCCTAGCTATAGAGCAAATTAAGTTAAGTGTGTAAATACAGTGGGAAAACACACATATGAAAATATAAACACAGTCATGTAAGTGCTCATGTTCCCTAGAGTTATGCTAAGCATTATAGGGACAAATAAATGCACATTTACCTTCGTGAAGAACTTCCATGTCACTACTGGATTCTTTTAATACCACATGTAATGTTGGATACTCAATGATCACTTTGTTCCTCAAATTGTCACGAAGACTTTTATAAGGATCCAGTTCATAGTATCTTATAATAAAAAAGCAAAACAAAAATAAAAAACACCCTTAATATCCAGAGTTACTCATAAATAAATACAGAGTTCCCTTACAGTAGAAAATTTTTTAATGTTAATGACATTAATTTAATAGTTATTCCTTATAATATAACATCTCTAAGAAAACCAGGTGAGATGAACCACTATAATAATACAGGTTCTAAAGTAAAATCAAGAATGTATCAAATATGACATTAGGAAAGCTTTAGGAAAAGTCATTTTCATTATCAAGGAGTAAAGACTAACTTTTACATAATATCTATGTTTAAGGTGTCATGAATTCTTCTTGGACAAAAGAATGACTAGCTAAAAATTCAAATTCCTCAAACATATTTAGTTTTACCTTTAAAGGAAAAACAAAAACTATCTAAAATAACTGGTCACAAACACTTTTGTAAAAAGCTAATTCTAACTATAAATAGTTTCCAGAAATTTACATTACCATACAATTAAATTTGGCCTTCCTTTATTTTCAAGTTAACAACAACAAAACAAAAAACTGAGGTTTGAGTTTCAGGATGAGGCTAAAGCACAAAATTTAAGAAGTACGGAGTTTATCAGTCATGGTAACGCGAAAATAGCTGTCAAATGTGCCACAGGTAATTAATCAGATGCTAATATTCTTTAAGGTGTGAAACTCTCAAGCCATTACTTAAAGAAAAATTTTTTTAGGTGACGTAAGATTCATTCCCTTAACATTTTCCCCCTTGCTTGCTTTCTTGGGTAGCAGAGAAAGGGGTAGAATTTCAGCTAGCTCACTAGGGGTTGCCTATGGGAATGTGTTGGCATGTGAACAGTGGCACGTTAAAGAGGAAAAAGTTGAGAACATGTCCACCAGTGTAGCACAGAAGTTCTCCAACCTTTCTCCTTCCATCTCCACCAAGGCCAGATGATATTCACATGCAAATCACACATCTTAAGGGATACCCAGCCTGACAGCTCTAACTCCATCCTTTTCTGTCTCACTCAAGAAAACACACTGAAATACAAGTGATCAAGAATGAAGTGATCACTGGAATACATCTGAATCTGCTCTAATTTTGTTAAGAGTAAATCATTCACAAACTTTGGTATTTCCTAATTAGTAATCAATTATTTGCACTGTAACTTGCAGCTGACTGAGACATGCAGCTCACAATTTCTCTGCAAATCTGTCCCATGGAAGTTTTCAAATAATGGAAAATAGAAGGGCTTATTAACAGAATGCTCTGATTTCTTTTTCAGAAGTAGGTGACACGTGATAGAACTGTAAAACCAAAACATTACTTATATTTGCATGCCCACATGCCTCACCCCTGGAATTCAATTCATTTTAGAATCACAGAAAATTTTTTATGTTGAAAAAAAAAAAAACAAAAAAACACAACTTATCAGTTTTCCTAAACCAGCCACCCTAGTGCCCATAGGCCACGGAATGCACACATAGTTTTTGCTGTGTAATGTTACACAGATGTGCTTATAATACTTTAAATGTGGTTCCAGCATTCAAGGATTAAATGTTTCTTATCTTTTAAACATTATTTCCCTTTGAAATAAGCAGTGTGTTTTTAGAAGTTAGCAGTAATTATACATAAGAGAAAAATAAGACTGAATTAGATATCAAAGTATAAGATTAACTTTGAAAGTAAAATATAAAATGGACATAACCAAATTTTTCTTAGGAGAAAATATGACTTAAATGCTCAAACAGGAAATTTTCAAGTAGTAGCCTACAAACACTTGGCAGGGACTTATCTTCTGTGTATTTTAAACTGAATCCTAAGATTTCTATTAAGCGATATTTCACAAGGGAATATTTTCTACTTATTTCAGTTTTTGAGAAATAATTTTCAGTGTATATTTAATGTTTAAGGTAATTTGTTTCTCTTTATAATACTAAATCCTGATTAGGTTTCTCTAGATTTCCAAAGCTGAATTAAAAAAAGAAAGAATTTTTCCAAAGCCACATGGTCTACAGCCTAATAATCCTGCTGACACAGTATAAAATATGTTCCCAGCACAGGAATATCTAGAGATAATTAAAAATCACCAAGTAATAATACTTTGATTTCAAAACTACAATGATTACTTGTCCAATTTAAAAAATTTTGGTTCCTCTTTTATGTGTAAAATAGACACTTTACTTTCTTTTACAAAGCACTGAGGATGTGAAGATTTCTAAGAACTCATAATAAATTATTTTTAAAATTTTTATTCAAATACAGTAAAAATCTGGTATATTTATGGTGTTGATTAGAACCACTGAATTTTCCTTAGTGTTTACCCTAAAATGTTGCAGACTGCTAATCAGCAATATTGCTATTGAGTGTCAGTAAGCTTCAAGGCCTCAGCTTTCCAGTCTGTTAAAGAGGTTGGACTCCTCTAGATAATCTTTTAGCTGAACTTCTGAATTTCTGTGATTTTTCTACTACTGGTGGTTACTCGTGGTCTACCACTAATATTTGCCCATGATTAAAAAGTAAAATTATGTGAGCTGTTTATAAAGAAAAGCTATCAAACACATATGGGGTAACATTCTGTGATTTGCAGGAAATAAAGCAACAACTTTTAGTGGCTGTTTGAGTTTGGGGTCTAACACTCTTCCGGTTCCAGTCTCAGCACCATCATTTACTGGTCTGTGATCCTGGACAAGTTACTTTACTTCTCTGATCCCCAGTTTCCACTCTTGAAAAACTGTTAGCTCACTTACTTAAGCCATTAACAAAACTTTGCATTTAAATTTACCTAAAATAAATCACATTCTGAAGGAAACTCCAGTTCAGACCAGTTTCTTCTGAGTAACAAAGAATGGCAATTATCATGTAAGCACAGAAACGCTTATTTCCCTTTTAATGCATTTTACATTTTAAATGTAGCCTTACAACTTTCAAACCACTGTTTTAGATCACATTTACTTCCAGGAGGCTAAAGGTACTTTGAATGTTTCTATTTCTATTATCATTAGACAAGGTTGTAGAGTCCAGCTTGGCAAGGCCTGTAACATTTAGTCTTTAGCGCTTTTGCAAGCCATTAAGTTACTGAATCCTAAGGGACAGCTTTATCTTTTTGAAATTTTCTCAAACTCTGGAGTTCCCATTAGTAGAATGCTCTGCTACCGTAAGACAAACTACTTAGGTTTGGAAGGATTAAGACACCAACATTTGTCTTTTTTTTTTCCCTTACCCTGAGGGACCCTCTCAGACATTTCCTCTTGTTATTTCACTTGCTTACCCTCATAGGCCTGCTAGCTGACCCTGCTCCAGACAGCTTCACAGGGGCATTAAAGGGCAGCATGGCTCAGTAGGCTAAACAGGTGTTACAGTGACTGACATTATATAAATAAAAGTTGTCTTGATACTCAAGGGTATGCGTTTAATCTTGGCTCTGTTACTAACTTTCAAAGAAACTGACCAAGTTCTCAAACTTCTTCCTCCACTTTACAAATTAGGATTAAAAAATATTTCTCATAACTCAAAAGAGACAGAATTTTTTTTTAAAAAGTCCTAAACCATTTTATTTCCCATCTGATCACTGACACACCTTAGATCATCTCCCTCTCTCCTCCTAGAAAATACTGAAACTAAGTATGAATATCCTCCATATTTAACAATCTCATACTAGTCCCTAAGTGACAGACTTTTTTCCACTAAAAAATAAAGTCACTGGATGAGGTGATCACCAAGATGACACCAGCTTTATAATTCTACAAGTGCAGACATATGCCTCCTCAATTCAGAAAGCTCAGCAGTTCAGAACTGCAGTGGTAAATGATTCTAGTCTATTCATGGCAATAAAGCTATGGGATATGGTAAAATAAAGTGACCAATGGGTCTTTACGAGGCTTTTACTTGTTCTAAATGCCATTTGTTCAGTCTTTGTTGATCCTTACTGGAAACTCCATTACTTTTAAATCCAGAGGCTTGGGCTCTGATCTTAAGATCCTTAAAGATCTTTAAGGTCCTTAAGATCTGTGACTCCTGAAGGATGCTCAGCTTTCTTCATCAGTATGATGATGGAAATGTTATCTAGCTTGTAAAGATTAAATGAGTGAATTTAACAGCTGAAAATGTTTCTAAAGCAGAACTTGCCCAAACTAGTATCAGTAATAAATTTTTATACTCCAAAGATTTTATATAGCACCTCTAGCAGGGATATGACATACCTGTCCGGAATTATGTTCATGATGGACGACAAGACTAGTTAGTAGCAAAAGTATGAACTTGTAGACAGACAGACCTAAGTCCAAATCCTGGATTTGTAATTATAAATTGGTTTCTTTGTGTGGGTCAGTTTCTCAGAGCTTATTAAGCTTCCTATCTTGTAGATATGATACATACATGTAGAAATGTTGTGAACACATATTCATCAATTAATTCCTCAAATATTTACTGTTGGCCACATACAAGTGGTCTGCTAGATAACAAAATTTCATAGAAATAAACCCTAGTTTGTTGAGGGTACCAAAGAAACAACGATCACATTTTATTGGGCCAAGTGTCATGACAGAAATCTAAAGCTAAGTAGATACTCAAAAAAACATTCTTTGTTCCTTAACCACCTTAAGATGTTCTTTCACGTTGCACAGTGCCTTTGGTATCTAGGCACTTCATTTGCTAACCCTAGCTACCCCTGTTCTTATCTGGTTCTTAAAATCCCTCCTCCTTCAGGGATTTTCTCCTAATTAACATAGGGAATTTTAATTAGCCTTACTCTTGTTAACAAAACATATTTCATCTCATATTATTGAATCTAAGAGTATGATTAGTACAGACTGTTAATCTTCATTAGGAAGTAACACTTAGCAAAATATAATGATCAGCTTCCTCAGAGAAACTTTTGCTTAAAGATTAAATACTTCATGAATTAACTATACCACAGAATTATATTACTTTAGAGTTGGCAAGAAATTCCTCTAGCCCCCCCCCGCCCCCCCCCCCCCTTTTTTTTGTCTTTCAGCTAAGGGCAATGAAGCCCTGGGAAATGAAGAATCTTA